TCGCACGAAACGAAAACCGCATCCCGAGGCTTGGTATTAGGTATATATACATATATATATATATACCTACATATATATATATATATATATATATATATATATATACATATACATATATATAGGTAACACACAACGCATAAATCTTTGGTGGCTGTAGGTAGGGAGAGCTCGGTAGTGTTCCCCGTTCCCGATCGTAAAATATTTCACCTCGGGAAACGTGCACGCTCGCGTCCGTTCCACCACGTTTAAGAGAGGGTTGCTGCTGCCAGCCTATCTCGACTCTATGGAGGTTTAATAACGCGTAACTTATGCGAGAATGCTCGGAGAAATAGAGAGATATCTATCGAAGCCACGAGAAACTGCTCAAAATGACCATATAAAGAAATAAAAGAAATTTTTACTCTAGGAGAAACAAAGAGACTCGAGATCGGAAAACAGAAAGTGAAATTGATAAATATATAGAATTAGAAAACAATAAAGAATTAAAGAAAAAGGGAAAAATAAAAATGGGTTAACAGAAGACTAAGAAACATAGAGAGAGAGAATATGATATATTTATTATGTGGCAAGTAGTATGTAAATCCTATAGGTCTATATGTTTGTCTCTTTTTAACATCGTTTCTTCATTTCCATTTCATCGAGTTTCAAATCGTAAAGTTTCTAATAAAGAGATTTTACTTAAAAAAAAAAAAAAACAATTGTATTTATTTATATATTTTTATAAATATAAATATAATTAATATAATGTATATTATTTATATATTTTTTATTTATAATTTATATTATAAATTAATGTATATTCAACGAGAGATACGTATGACGGTATAAAAATAATGTGTTCGTTCATTTAAAAATAAAACGAAAATAATATGATACGTTTATATTGAAATTTATTGAATAGTATAATAATAAAAAACAAAAAAAGAAACAATAAGTTATAACCATAAGATTATTCGTAGGTGGAACGTTTATTAAAATGTGTGTTTCACCCAGTAGATTATATTCAACATCGAACTGGACGGAGCCGTCCTCTGCTTTTCTACGATTAATTTCGAGGCTCCGTTTGGAAATGCTACAAACAACGATATACACAGACGAGCCCTTTAAACAGCCCTTTTGCAATCCTATGCAGTAGCTTGGTATTTCATGCTCGTTTTTCAATGTATGTACAGTACATACATTTACCTGCCCTTTTCTTTCTCACTCTTCCTCTTGTCTGTGTTCTCTATGTTTTGAGTTTGTATAGGTAGATTCATTCACCATTTCCAACGTCTCTAAAGAGTCTGCTATAATTATTCCTTTTGAATTTAACAGCTTCTTCCTTCGGATCATCGATTTTCGATAGCTTTGATACTTTCCTTTTTTTTTTTTTTTCTTCTTTTGTACCCCCTTCGCCCAACCGTCCCTTTTTTTTCTTTTTTTCTTTTTTGTTTCTGTATTTATCTGCTGCGCAGGAATGAATAACGAGATTCAATGGTGAATGAAATATTCTAAAAGGTAATATAAAACAAGCAGCATTGTGTTGCATTTCCATTGTTGTTCTCTTGTAACCAGATCTAACTATTAATTAACTGGATATAGAATGATTAATACGTTAATGTATGTATATATGTATATATATCTATATATATAGTTTTATTTCAATTTATTATCTTTTTTTTTTGGTTCCGGTTTTGTTATCTTCAGTTGAATTTATCTTTTTAGGATAATTTTCTTGTTCTTTCTTTTTTTTATAACATTAACATACGTTCGTTTGGCAATTAATTTGAAAAGATATTTTCTTTTGAACGACTCGTTACTCTTTCTTGCCCTTCTGTAAGCATTTTGAAAGATCTTACACAGATGTTAACTAAACGCATCACTGGTGTTCTCGTTTTATTTCAGAAACCGTAAGTAAATATTTTTGAAGTTATTTTTTTTTTTCTCTCTCTTTTAAACAAGTAAGAGAATTGTAGAAATAAAATGAAATGAGTAGGAGTAGAAGAAGAAGAGGGGTGGAGGGAGGAAGGAAGGAGACAGAGGAAGTTGAAAAGGAAGAAGAAGATGAAGATGAAGAAGTAAAAGATAGTATTCCTTAGAGAAAAGGAAAAATATCTGGTAGATGCCGGTATACCTATAGTCTTAACGAAAAATTACTACGATAACTTTGTCTGGCAAGTTAACGATTTATAGGTTACGTTTTCTTCGCTAAATTGCACTAAAGCAAAGAACGTTTCCTACGATTAATCTTTCGCATTTTATATAATCTACTGAGAGAGATAATAGAAAATTTTTTCCTTTCTTATAATTCCAATAAATTTGATTATGAACAATCGACACGATGCCATGTTTCTTTTTTCTTTTATCTCTGTACAAATATCTTATAAATTAAATATGAGTATTATTTATATATATTTATGTATGTATGTATGTATGTATATATAGGTTTTTAATTTGAGATCGTGAGAATGATTTATAAAGATACAACGTTATTTTTAAGCTTCCTAGGAAATCTTTACGAGATAGAAACGATCTGCGTGAAATTTTCTGACCTTATCTCCAACGGGGGAATATCGTACGTACGTCTACCGCCGCACTTAATTCCGTTACTAATTTACAGCGACGTAATGCGGAAATTAACGTCTAACCATTTTAATCGAACAATTTTCTCTAATGTTAAAGAAAAGAACAATATATATATATATATATATATATATATATACTAGGTTAATCGATAAGTAATATAGGAAATTAGTAGTAATTTATATTTTAAACAAAATACACACTAGAAATTTCTTACTAAATAAATATTTCATATCTTGCATTTTAATATCTAAGTAAATATAAATAATTTGTTTGTATATATATTATTTTATATAAAAGATGCGAGTGTGTTGAAGAATCGTCAAATCTAAAATAGAATTTCGATCAAAAATTCATACACTTTGATTTAAAAAAAAATAATAAAAGTTTTATTATTCTCGTGGTTCCTCTCCCCAAACATTTTTTAATAAATACATTTAATATCTTTTTGGTATTATATATTACTGAAAAAAAAATTCATGTAAATTAACACTATGTAATATTTAATCGAGTAAAACATTGAATATAAAAATGTTACCATTTATTTTTGGTAATTTTAATATTACTTATTGGTAAACATTATACACGTGTATACATAAAATTGTACCGATTTGAAATAAGTTTATGAATCGTTCATAAAGGATTTTCTACGAGGGTCTCTTTTTGGCAATAAAATTCAAACGACCGAGTTATTGGCTAACGCATATAAATCTTTAACTTTAATGTTCTTTCGAAGTACTGCTCTAGAATCGTCTCGGCAATTTATATTTTCGATACACAATACGTACCCCATCTTCTTCTACTACTACTATTACTACTACGTTGGGGGTGGCAATTAGCGGATTTATCGGTGACGTCAATCGAAAGAAAGAAAAAAAGAAGGAAAGGAAAACAAAAAAAAAACGAGAATCCAAAAAAAGAAAGGAACGAACGAACGAACATACAAATAAACGAAACAACGAAAAAAAAAAAAAAAAGGAAAAACACGAATCGTTCGTCCATCCTACGATTCGTATGGTGTTTTCTAATCAATGTGTATACCCCGAGTCTTGACTTTCTCGTTTCAATCGAGTTTATTCAGATACGAGTGGAAAAAGAGACACGCCTATCTGTTTACTTCTACATATATGTATATATATACGCATACCATTTAGTTTTCTCTCTCAACGTGTCCTGTATTCATCATCAAAAATTTCCACTACCGATTCGTATCGGAAATTAATCCATCTGACTTCTAACCGTCGTTCAGATAAGGGCCCAGACGTGTACACTAATTTGTATTATACGATATAACAACGTTAGTATCAGTTTTTTTTCTGGTTTTACGTTTGTAGTACTTCGTACGTAACACAACTTGGAACAAATTAGAAAAAAGAAAAAAAATATCTAAATACTACTTTCTTTCTTTTTTTTTCCCCTTCCCCTTAACGAATATTATATTATCAGATAATTTTGAATAACTCGAACGTTTTGATTGGACAAAACAAAATCAATGAATATATTTTTATGCGATGTGTGTAATTTAATCGAGTTAAACGATTTTACGTTTTAAGGTAAAATTAAAAAAATTTAGGATAGTTTGATTTTTTGGAATAAAATTTAATCGGATTATTTTACTTCCTTTTTTTTTTTATGTTGATTGGAAAAATTAAGACACATTTATTATTATAAATTATATAAAAATATTAATGAATATAAATTATATTAAATAGGGAAATATTTTCGTTGAAAGAATTGATTCGATAATTTAACGTCACACAACGACGTAAAATATTTTCGGTTGAACCGATTAGGAACCTTTGCCCTTTTACTTGGCATCAGTTGATCAGGATATAACAGTGGTGATACTGGTTTTGGTGGTAATGGTTGACACAGCGGGTGGGGAATATTATGTTACCGCAGGATTATTAAATTTTAATCTGACCGCGTCCATCTCCCACGTGCGAGCAGGACCCCTCGTGGTGCCAGAACACGTTGCTTGATCCTTTGTCTCAATTCTTTTTTTTTTTTTTATGTCCATCCCCTCTCCTTTTCTTCCCCTTCGTTTTCATTTTATCCCTTTTCCTTTCTGGTTACTCTAACGTGATTTTTGATATAACAGAATCACACGTCGAGGGTCACAAAGTTTAATAATAAATTAATTGATATCATCAATTAATATCTCACGTAAATAATTTGCTTTTTTGTTTTGTAAATAATAATTAATTTATAATATAAATATATATAATTTATAATATAATTTATTTGATATATTTGATGTATTAAAAATTAAATAATTTGTATGTGTGTATCTTTAATATCAAAATGAAATTTAATTGTAATTTTGATTTTTATAGTATAGTTATATTGTTGAAAATAATTATAAAATAATTTAACGTCGAATAAAATGTTTGTTTGTATTAAATATAATTCAGTCTATTGTATTATACGTAGATTACATGGTCTCAGTCCGTTGGTTGTTTTCAGGTGTGTTGGGAAATTGTCCTTTGGTACAACCACCACAATGGGGTGCGGTACGAGAAAGGGTCCTCGAAGACGGTACTCTACAGACCGTATATTCCTGCGAGGAAGGTCGCAGACTAAAAGGACACAAGGTAGCCACTTGTACGGTGAACGGTTGGGATCATCCCGTACCCGAGTGCGTACTTTTAGGTAAGTTGGAATAATTATGACTGCCATTGTCCAAGCTTTCCGACGATTATTTAAGCAAATTGTACTCGAACAAAGACCTCCAAGGGCATCCCGAATGAAATTATTATTTGCTTGACCTTTTCTACAAGGATCCTAATAATTTCAACTTATTTATATCGTATATTCCGTTCTTTTTATTTATAACACGTTATTTTTTTCTTTATCACGAGACAGTGTGAAAGTAATAATTTTTTCTTCTTTTCTTTTTATATATATATATAAATATAATCAGTTATATTATTATTATTATTAATAATTATTCTACACAAATGATTTTTATATTGGATTGGGGGGAATGGAGTTCACCGATGACACCCATGACATTCAACGTGTTTTAAGTTTTCATATTTTAATACAAGAAATATATTAGATATAATAATAATAATAAAACTTTAATTTACCGATGCATATTTGTTTTTAATGAATTAAAGAAAATACAATAAATCTTTTTACGTGTGGATCGTTGAAACGATCAAATTTCTATTTAATGAATATAGAAAATTATCGAGACCATCGTATTACTCCCTTGGAATATATTCTCATTTCAGAATTCATTTTTCCCGATTTATCATAATTTTCATTCTCGAATGAACTAATCAAAACGGTGGTAGACGAAAACGTTGGAACTATTTCATTTATTTTTAGCAGGAAATTCTTTAACGTTCATTTTTATATTCTGCGAGGAGGGGGGAGAAAAAAAGAAATACTCGTAGCTTTAAAAAGGATTGTATTAAACTAAATAGATTTTCTTTCTTTTTTTTTTATATAACTCAATGCATATTAAATGAGATAGAAATTACGTTTCGTAGAGGAAAGAAATATAATTGTCAATTTTAATCGACTAAAAGTCGTATATAATACATATATATATATACGTGTGTGTGTATACGTTAACTATGGATGAAATAAAAAGTAAATAACAGACAGAGAGAGAAAGAAAGAATGAGAAAAAGAGAGAGAGAGAGAGAGAGAGAGAGAAAGAAAGAGAGAGAGAGAGAGAGAGAGAGAGAGAGTGAGAGAGAGAAAATATTTTTTTTTCGAGATGCATTCGCGAATAGAAGGTATTTGTGTAGGCGAGCGCAAACATTTAAAATCCGGTTCTAAGCTTTTTCATTGAGCCTTTCTGCGATTCATCCTGATGGACGGGCTTTAACCGCTTGTGGATTCTCTCGTATCAACCACAGAGAAAAGATAAAAAGAGAAAGTGAGAGTTAGTGTGAGAAATAAAGAGAAAGAGAGAGAGAGAGAGAGAGAGAGAATGAGAGTCATAAACTCCGGATTTCCTTTCTAGTGGGGGAGTAGTCCTTAACGGGGACACGAAATTCATATATAAAAATGAAAAAAGGGAAAAGGAAAAGGTACATAAATGAGAGTTGAGATAAAAGTAAATGTTACATCTCTATCTCTCTCTCTCTCTTTCTCTATTTCTCTCTTTTTTTCTTTCTGTTTAAAATGTATAAAAGAAAAGATAGTAAACGAATATTTTGATCATCATTCGTACGATACTTTATAATATTCGTAATGGTTTGATAAGAAATATCGAAATATTGTAAATATGTTTTGTACATTATCGTTCGTAAAAAATATTTTTCTTATCGAATAATAATATATATATATATAATTTTATGTATATAAAATTGCATTCGATATTATCGTTAAATAAGAAAAGAAGACAAAAACAAAACTAAATAGTAATAATATAAATAATATTATAAAATATTATATATATATTCAATGTGTGTGAGATAATATGAAATAAATTTGATATTATTTTTATATTATTATTTTTACATTTCATTTAATTATAATCATTCTTACAATATATATATTATATAACGGTGTAGATAATATAAAAATTATATTTATATAAAATATCAATATCACTATAACGTAGAGAAATAAAAGAAAAAGATAAATGATAGGAAAAAAGCTTTTGAGAATACATGAAAATAGTGTATGTGTATGTGTGTGTGTGTGTGTGTAATATATTGGAAGATTTAAACCGCGAGTCTATTCGTTCGTTTCAACGTCGAATAAGATGGACGGAATAGCGAGAAGAAGAAAGGAGATAGGTAAAGGGTGAAGGGTGAAGGGTGAACGGTGAAGGGGAAGGGAGGTAGTTGGTAGATATCTTCGATGCTGGTTGGAAGCATCGGAGCCAGGAAAAAGGTTGTTGGGGAACGATGACGAATTGCTCTTTCGTAGCTCGTGCGACACCTCCCTGGGGGCCCTTCTTCGTGTGAGGACCCTTTTGAAAAGAAAACGACCCGTTACGCGAAACCCTTCCTTCCTTCCTTCCTTCCTTCCTACCTACAAGTTTGTTTTTTCCCTTTTATTTATTTTTTTCTCTTCATCTTCTTTTTCGTTTTTCTTTTTCCTTACTTCATTCTCGTAAAGAAGGCCGGCTAGGATCTTTAAAGGGAAAGGGAATTTCGTTGTGATTTATAGTCGGTGTCTCGCGTGCCGTAGCTGCGTTCGACAACCGAGACATTTCTTTTCGTCCCTACCCCCACAACCCCCCACTTGTCCTCTGTCCCTACCCCATCCCTGACCACCCCCCCCCCTTCAATGTTCACCACCAACATCATTTCTCTCCAGCTGCAATTCTGCACCGTAACAAGTATTACTTACATGTGTTCGTGTACGCGTTACGTGTGTTCGTATTAAGTTTGAAGGAGAAAGTAAAAGAAAGGGCTATCGAAAGGGTTTTGTTGATTCCGTTACTATTACTAATTTTACTCTGTGGCTGTTGTGTTAAAAAATGTTTCTTTTTTTTAGAATTCTATACATTTCGTTGTTAATTAGATTCTTTTTCTTTGTTTTTCCGTTTTTTGTTTAATGCACATTTTATAATTTTGTAATGAAGAGATAATCGAAATGATATATTTTCATTTGTTTTACGATTAAATAAATTGTACTATTTTATAATGTAGAAAATTAATTTAATTTAGTAAAATATATATATTTGATTATTGTTCTGGTTGTATGATAATGGTCTATTGTTGTACAAGGTAAATTGAAAGTTTGTAGACATTTATTAAATTTTCATTGAAATAAATTCACTCGGAAATTCACTGCAAACGTGTTCTAATTCTATGCGAATATATTTCAATTTATTCGTATTAAGATCCACTTTGAGAGTTTTGCAATTAAATAAAAATAAATTATTTATCTTTTAAAACAAAACTAGAGAGAAAAAGAATTGATAATCGATTTTTAAAATAACTCAGGAACGCAATTGCACAATCCGATTTTAATATTTTTCTAGATTTTCTAATTTAAAATATAGAACGAATGTTTTCTTTTCTTATTTTTAATTAACAATCTCGTTTTTCTTTTTATTTATACTTAATGATATATATACAAGAATAAAATAATTTAATAGAATGAATGTAATTGTAATACGTTATTTGGATAAAGCACAAGACAGGTATTTAATTGGGTGATTTATAGGGAAGATTATGATTAACCGTTTCAATGCTCACATGTATACATGTACATACATGTATATATGAAACATAAATATATGGTTGAATGTTCGAATTAGCATTAGTTAATGGATGAACAGATGTTAGTTTCACGTGCACGCTAATCGATATTATTGTATCGATATTATACACTCATGGTCAGTAAATTTAGGAAATCATTTCACTATAATTGTAACCTATAATAATTTGTTTATTTATGATTTAATTTACTTTTCCGTTTGTATAAAGAAAATATTATTGAAAATTATTATGTATAATATATTAAATATATATGCATACAATACATAGTAATTTGATATTCTATAGAATATCAAAGTATTATGTTCGATGCTTAGGAAAAAGTGGAAGAATTTTTCAATTTCCGACCTTGTCTGAAGGCTCTTTGCATTCATAGTAATGCCGAGGAATTACTAGCAATGACTGATTTCCGGCTTTGACGGTAACATATATATATATGGATATATTATAAATGGATTAGTATTATTAAAAATTATCAATATTATATACTTTTTAATAATAATATATTTTTAATAAAAAGGGGAATGATAGCATTTATAGTCAATCACTTATTCGAGTTCTTTCATATTATAAAGATGCGGTTATCTGGAAAAATCCTTGTGCTTTTATCACAACTATAGAAAATCTCGTATATGTATGAGTTATCTCTTCACCTTCTTTGAGTTTAAAAGGCTTGCGGCCCTTTCGACCTTCGCCATTTTACTCGCATCAAATATCTCTCTCTCTCTCTCACTCTCTCTCTCTCTCTCTCTCTTTCTCTCTCTCACTCTCACTCTCTCTCTCTCTCTCTTTTTCTCTTTATTTCGTTCCTTAGATCTTTTACTGGAGATAAGATCGATCGATTTTATCAACGACATTCCGTAACGTTAGAGTTGAGAGTTAATCGCTACCGTTGTTGGAATTTCAACGAGTATTCTATTTAAAAAGTGTTTTTAATTAAATTCGTTATAATTAGATCATACTTTTCATGTTATACCTTTTTTCTTTTCTTCATCTTCAAGTAAATATATTCTTGTTATAGATTTAAACGTGTTATTAGAGATAATAGGATAAACTAATTTTTATATCATATAAAAAAGACATATAAATAACAATTTATTATAAATATTGTATGTAACACGTGTAAAATATATAATATAACATTTCAAAAAGACAAAAAAAAGAATTTCGTATCTAACATTTAAAGTCTTTGTAAAAAATTACAATTGAAAATGGTTACATTGAATTAAAAAAAAAAAAAAACAAATAAAACAAAAGAAAAGACAAAATTAAAGATTTATAATGGCCATTCTTGTAATTCAAATTTAATAAGAAACATCGTTATATAGGATCTTATTTTATTTCCCATGATGATAATCACGTTGCTCGTTAAAACACCACAATGGGATCTCACGACGAGTAGAAGTCGATACACTTCCGGATTGGTCTTTTTAGTTGTTACCGTTGTTGTTGTTG